CTCTACTACTACTACTACTACTACTACTACTACTACTACTACTACTACTACTACTCCTCTACTACTACTACTACTACTACTACTACTACTACTACTACTACTACTACTACTACTACTACTACTACTACTACTACTACTACTACTACTACTACTACTACTACTACTACCCATGTTAACTACTCTTACCGAGCGCTTGCGTAATTCTCGTGGTATCACACTTCATCGCGTCCACATAGCCATTGTATATATAGTATATACATATAGCAGTCAGTAGCAGGTATGCTACTCCTAGGAGACAGATAACGAACCACGGCATAATACAAACAGATTGCTCGAATACAGACTAAAGCGGCATACCACACTCTCACCACTTCGCTTTCCCCCCGGTGGTAGATCATCACTAAACACAACTCTTATGCATGGAGGTTAGTAACAGCTTTTAGATGTACACTGTACCTTCAGAATCGTCCGAGCTCAGTGGGGCAAAAAATGTTCGCTTTCCTCGACTATCATGAGAGTTTATATACGAATTGGGAGAATATATAAGTAGTGTACAGAAACTAACAAAAATTATCCAAAAATTTTCTCAGAGTCTTAATATTGTCACCAACACATGAGGTTGACCATGTCCATATTTTCGGAGCTAGCTAGCACTTCCCAGAACATAACCGGATCTTCGTCTCAGTGCAGCCATAGTAGGCGCATAACAACTTCAAGTGTGTAGTGTGGTACGGTATATGGTAATACCACATGCCGTTATAACAAATGTGGGTTTACTGTGCGAACAAATCATGCAACTGAAATCCTGGTGACAATGAACTAATACAGGCCATACGAAGTGGTAGCTATTCGACTTGATAGAAGAGGGTCAAGTAGATGACACTTTGACAACGTTCAACGCGACGTGGTGGGTATTCGGTGAAAGAGATATGTCAAGTTGCAGTAATACTACGAGCACTGTAATGGTCACGTGCAATTACTTCTATTATACTAATATTGACCATACCAGTCATGTCGTATTATGTGACATAAGTGGTATGGTCAATTTCCAGTTTTTTCAGAAAGTTTGACATGAAAAATATACGGCTCGTATATAAAGCATGTCCAACTCCAACGATGATATTACATGCGGGTGTATCAATTCCAATTTACCACACTACATTCTTGAACGATTATGAAAAACCGAGAACTAGTCTAAAAATATCAACTACCCAAATGTTACTACCATTCTTCGTTATGTATACACCGACTATCCGCCGAGCTGATGATAATAATATCAAACCCGTTGTGCTTGACAGCCATTGTGGTGTTTACAATAAGGATCTCCAAGCAGGGTCATGGTCCATACCATCCCTCGCACACTTCACCCTATTTATATGTGAACCTCTATCCTCATATAAAACAGTCACATTACCAATATACCATCATCAGTAACAACTCATCGTAGACAGTGCAGTTCTATTCCTAGACTACTACGTTATGAGAACTTTGATCATATCGATTAGAAATCCGCGCGCTTTTGTCGAGCGAATGTTGCGCGTTCTTTTGTGTCGAGCTGGCATCTTGTAGATGTAGATCCAGCTAACTGACTAGTTGTGGTTAGCTTGAAAGTAAGTAGTTTGTTTTCGCTCTTTATTATGAGTGCCCCTACTAAGGGCATGAACACGCTGACAGTCCCTCGTAAACGTCGAGGGTCTATGAACACGTTAACTGTCCCGGCCCAAGGCGGCCAGCAACAACAGAGGTTCGCAAATGCTCACACTCTGCCTCCTAAGGATAAGGTAGAAATAATAGGGGGAAATAATTGTCAATGTGATGGTTGCATTTTATTTCAGTCGGCCGTAGACGCCCAAGCGGCTGAGGGTTACTTTACTGTTAGAGGCCAGCTGACGACTAAGGGGGTTTTCTGGGACCAGTAAGGTTAGAGCTACTTATGCGCAGTTTATCATAATGTCATGTTAGGTTCAATGATAATACACAGACTGTCAATGCAGGTCGAACTCGTATGGAAAGCGGCTATGGGTAGTGGTCATAACTCGTACCTCGGATTGGTATCTTCATGCATGAGTAGATACTTGAATGCTTTGACCAGTATGTCCAAGGAAAGAGCCGGCACTGTGCTGCGTAGTCAAAGCGGATTGGATATTGTTGAACTCAAAGGTACTGCATTATAGTGATTATCTTGTTGGAGTCACCACTACGGTCAGAGCTTGAGGAAGGCGGTGGTGCCGCTGCTGCTGCAAAGCACGATACGGATGAGACTAGTCCGACCTTGTCCAGGGATCGCAGTAGCGATTGGGAGGCGAGACCAAGACGGACGGATGCTATCAAGAGCTTCCTCTTGAGGTCCTTGGGCACTCTTGGTATTATATATGGTGATATTGGTAAGGAAGGTTCATGAGGAGTATTAGGTTGTTGTTATATTGAGTGCTCGCTCAGGTACTTCACCGTTATATACATTATCGACTATTCTGGGTTGCAATACAGATGCCCCTTCTAAGTATCAATGTGTGGTTGTGGATGGAGTCACCCCAGATGTAGCTGAGGACATCAAGAGTGTCCTTAGTGTTATCGTATGGGCATTACTGTTTATTGTAAGAGGTGGGGGAAGAGTCGCTGTATGATGTCTAAGGTCGGGAAATATGCATATAACCATAAGGGAAGTTGGGGGAATTTTGGTATAGTTTCGTTGGTTTCCTCTAAGTCGTGTATGTCTTTTATAATATACTTAATTCACGTCCGACCTGAAAGGATCAAGCATACCCCGACACGACTGGCCAGTTCGACGTGTGTTTAGGTGTGTATCAAGTACGTCGGTGTGGCCTTCCGTTTCGACTATCATGGTGAGGGTGGTATATTCTCTTTGCTGCTGAAGATAGTGCACGAGAGCATTCACAAGGTTGGTACTAAAACATTGATCCTCTGCACTGTATTGGCTACTACTGGTGCTGCGATGATGTGTGGTGATGGTCTTATTACCCCAGCATTGAGTGTGCTAAGTGCAGTAGAAGGTCTAGCTACTGATAAGCTGTTCTCGCCGAGTGGGGTACAGATAGTTAAAGATTTGGTTGTCCCTGTGACCCTAATCCTACTACTACTGTTGTATTCACTACAGTTCTTGGGACCGTCGAAAGTTGGTATTGCGAATGGGCCTATTACAATGTGTTGGTTTATACTCATTGGCGGTGTTGGAATATATAACCTCACCAGTAGGTTCGAAATTGTGGTTGAACGTAGGTGAATTTTCGTTGTTGTATTTTTCAGTCTACAATCAATGGATGGTTTTGGTCGATGCTATTAACCCGTACTATGTGTATTATTTCTGGGTTAAATCGAGCTTCGCGGGCTATGGTGCATTCCAACGCTTTGGTGATGTGGTGCTGGCAGTAACTGGTGCGGAGGCGCTGTTTGCTGATATGGGCCATTTTGGAAGAGGACCTATTATGCTCTCTTGGTTCGGACTGGTAATAATAACACTACTACTACTACTACTACTACTACTACTACTACTACTACTACTACTACTACTACTACTACTACTACTAGTAGTAGTAGTGTCTATGCCTAGAGTGTCGGCACGTGCAACTCCTAGTAGTAGTAGAGTATCCTTATAAGATTGTTCTATGGTTAAGCTGCGTCTCAAGGTACTCCCTGCACTTATATTCTGCTACACTGGACAGGCAGCATACGTTCTGTCCATCGGAACCCAGGCTGCTGCTAGTAACCCATTCTGGGCTGCCACGCCTAATGCCTTATATATTGTAAGTGGGGGTATTCGAATCGTGATGTGGCGAAGGAGTGGTATTGTTTCAGGTTATGTTGATCTTTGCAACTATTACGACCATTATCGCTTCTCAAGCTATGATCACTGGTTGCTTTGGCCTTATCAATATGGCAGTCTCTCTGGACCTGTTCCCTCGTGTGAAGGTTGTAAATACTAACCCCAAGGAGAAAGCCCATATTTACATCCCTGAAGTCAACTTCCTGCTTGGCCTCGGTAAGACACTTGTCGTTGTAGACGATAACAAAATGGGTTGAATTTTGATGGCTATGTGTAAGACATCGTTATTAGTGCGATTGACTCACACATAGTGGACTTGCAATTAGATGGATGTTCGGGGTTTTACGGTATGGATATACCATATTCGCAAGTTATGTATGAATATCGCTCGACGGCGTTCGTCTGTGATATGAAGTGACTTGTCCCTATGTGTCTTCCTACAACGTGTTTAGCATGATATTCGCTTCCCGAATAGGTACCATTATATTGGTTTTGGCCTTTCGGTCAAGTGGAGCCCTTACCGGTGCTTATGGTGTTGCTGTACTATTCACGTTCAATATGAGCACTGTAATAACATAGTTCATCTCCTGTGACGACAGGTGTTTCTTCATATCAGCAACTGTATGTGCAAGTGCTGCATCGTGTGTATGGATGGAACTTCATCTTGGCATTCAGTTGCCTAATACCGTTTATGGTGGTCGATGGAACTCTGCTTGTTTCAAACCTGTAAGGAGTACTCTTAGAAAACACTGTTTGATTGTCGTATTAGGTATATGAAAATGGATGAGAACGGTTGGGTGACGATACTAATAGCTGTAGTATTGCTCGTATTCATGTTAACTTGGCGTTACGGGAGGTATGCTACTGGTAATAGCAAGTCGCCCCTCGTGTATAGTTTTCATATGGAGTTGTCCCTGTTTGCTCAGGTAAGGCATATAACGAGTTGGCCGCCCAGGAGGGAGCCTTGTCGAGTTTGTCGGGTCTGGTACTGCAGCAGCAAGCGGGAACGTTGAGGTTGAGCCCGGGTACTGGTGTATTTATGAGCCCTACTGAGGAGAAGTTAAAGGGAGAGTCTTTGCCAGCTGCGCTCTCGTTGTACAATAGGATTACTAATGGAGTTCATCAAAGAACGGTATGGTGGCCTTGCTGCTTCGCTCCGCTGAAGATTTGTAACATTTTTAGGTTTTACTAAGCGTATCGTTTAACACACTGACCCCGTTCGTGGATCAAAGCCAACGCGTGGAGGTTGAGAGTGAGGGTGGTCTTTGAAGGGTATAATGACTATCGTATTTTTTCTCAGGACTGTCGGAACATATTTGGGCGGCTCGTGTTACCTTTGGCTATGCAGAGCCGCTGTCAGAGCTCAACATGGGCGAAGTGGTGAGTATCCTTATACGTTGCATATTTCGAATTTCTCGATATGATAGTTATTGTTAAGAATAGTAGGAATAGTTTTCTATATGAAGTGTGTCGAGCTGTAGACCTTGTGGGAGCTCAAATTCGTGGAGGCATTTGATTCTAGATCCAGTCATACCTGTGATCAGGTTCGTGATACTATTCTGCCTATTATAAAGCAGAACGTGGCTAATGATGAAACCGTTCATCGTCGTAGACCACAGGCAGCATCTCAGCAATTGGATATGTTATTCTCGGAGGAAAGGAATGAAGAGGCGGAGCAGATGTTGGCTAAGGAGGCTATCGATGGAGAGCAGGGTTATGATGAAGCTGATAATCTCTGGTTTTACATTCACAGAGAAAAAACCGTACGTGGTTTATTTATTCCATACCACACTCAGCGGAATTTTTGTCAGATGTCAAAACCAGGGTCGAATATTTTACGTAGGATAGTGATATCTATGTACGCGGGAATAATCGGCATCACTCGAGACCCGGCTCAGTTCTTCGGCCTGCCTATGGACCTTGTGGTAAGCCTTGATATCAGTGGCTTGAGTTGATGATGCTATATTGTTGTTTTTGTATCAGATTCAGCTCGGTGAGGTATTGAAGATGTAGTGCTGAGTTGATATAAGCATAGGATTCTGTAATTACCTATTTATAGTGGCTGATGACGACCTTAGCAGCAGCAGCAGTAGCCTAATCTTCGTCATTACTATGTTACCAAACTTATATCATTCACAAGCTTTTGCCGGCTTCGACGACGTTCCTTTAATTATACAAGTCCTAGGCTATAGCCATTTCCTGGCTCTAGTACCATTCAGTGTTGAGCTGATCATTATGGGAGTGGTGACACGGTGGCTCTTACCAGCGTGATTACAGTATGCAGATGAAGGGGATTAACAGGGTAAAGAGGGTTGCTCGAGCTAAGGGGTGACACCAAGAATATGCTTTACCAGAAATCTAAGGCGATCAAGTATGATACTTTCAGAAAAAGTAGGGGATTTGATCGGGTTCATGATGGAGAATGGGTTCGGAGTCAGGTTTGATGAGAACGAGACGTTGCTATAGATTATGGATAACTAATTTGAAGGGTATTCTACTGCCTAGGGCCGCTCATGATGCACAGGGGGGGAGAGCTGTTACCGACCACCAAAGGTGCTATGCTCTGTCATCGCCTATCAGTACCCTAGTCAAGTCCCCATTCCTGCTACCTCATGCCTCGACACCTCAAACTGTATATGTACCTAACGGCTGCCTCACACTGTAGCAGTAGCCCATACTCGGCTAGACTAGTGTCCTCTGGCTCTGCTCCTGATGCCTCAGTAGATATAGGTATAAAATTATAGCGATGATGATACAGTACTGATCCATAATTTCCATGCTGGTATCATTTTCTATCATCTCCCAAAATCATATGCATCAGTGTCAATAACCATAATGTGATAGGCTTCCTACTCGCAAGGCACTAGGTAGTACATTGAATGAGCGTTGCAGTAGACTCTTCCCCTTACCGCTCCCTCTACTCTCGGTCGTAGCGAATACTTACTACTCGGCAGCGAGGCCCTTGTGTAGGTAGGAGCTCTAATTTCTCCATGACCAGCGTATGAATTTTCGACTTAATTCTAAAGACCTAATTTTTTCCCGATCAGGAGGGCTCAAGGTAAGAGGTCTGAAGTTCAAATTTAGGATCTAAGATGTAACTCCAGCATTAATGAGAGTAAAAACTAGGAAATTCATGCACCACTCGAACCTGAGATTGTCACGACCTAACGTAACAAATTGCCATAAATGAACCTTCTCGACAGTACCGCATTCTATGCTTCAGTGGAAAGGTGAAAAGAAAAGGCATCTCATCAACAGGCTCAGAGACGTACCAACTGTCATCATCAGCGACTACGGCAACCGGAAAAGGTTTACCTATTAGTATTAGTTTGTTAACGAGTTGTAACACTAAACCATGCACGTTAAGACCAAAGCCTTTTAACACAAGTCTAGCTAACTCTCTCGTTATTATTATCGCACTGTGAAATGAGTCTAAGGCACGTAGTAGAGGCCTAGGACCCAAACAAGCAAACAGTGCACAATAATCCCCCCCTCCCCCACTGTTAACGCAACAGGGCTCGCCAACTCCGGTCAGGTTAGCCACCTAGTAGGAAGTCGATCTTTATCGTACGACAGTCGTGGAAGTGATCTGCCTCCTCCTCCTTCTTAGAAGCTGATGGGAGCAACAGTAGCAAGTTCAGCCTTGAGCTTGGGGTCAGCAGCAACCTGTCTCTGGGCCTCAGACCTGACCTTGCGGATGGTCTTAGTGACCTTCGTGTAGTACTCGGCCTTGTGGAGGTTACGACGCTCAGTGAGACGCTCGACAAGAGACTTGCACTTCCAGCCAACCCTCTCACTCAAGTCGCCGAGGCAGCAGAACTTACGAGTAGGCTTCAGTCTTAAGGCCTGCATCACAACAATACTATAATAAGAATAGAATGATAAAACATCGTTACCTTGAGGGCGCAAGGGATGACCTGCTTGGGGGCCTTATCGTAAGGATGCGGCATACCATCGAAAACCTTCAGACGATCAAGAGCAGCCTGGCCACGGGCGGTCTTATGACGGATCATACCACGAATAGTCCTCCACAAGATCTTAGAGGGAGCCTGAAGACACCGAATTGATAGTAGAATTTAGTAGCAGTGAATAATTACTCTGAAGTGGATGGGGCCCTTCTTGGGGTTGGAGTTGGTGTGCTTACGCTTGAAGCTCTCGTACTTCAGCTTGTTACGGAACAAGGAGCCAGAGATGTTGATGCCCTCGCAGTGGACAGCAACAATCTTCTGACCGCTAAGAAGCTCTTTAGCGATCATGCCTATAGAAAAACAACAATAACATAAATCCACCGAGCTTCAAATAAAGATTCAAAACAGGTCCAATATAGTACCACAACCCCCTATTACTCGCAAGGCGGCCCAGAAGGTGCCCGCGGCAGTCGATTACGATTTCCTTGGCGAACATACCGGTATAGGTCGACTCCAGACTATACGAACAAAGGCTATGGATCGCTCGGGCGAAAGCGCTATTTACATTCATCGTTGAGGAAATGCAAGATGAAGTAAGATTGCAAGTTTATGTGATCCTTTCTCGTTGAGCCCGTCTGCGGCCTCAGGGATCCCACATATCAATTGTAAACTCTGTGGTGACACGAAAGGATGGTGATCACACTGTGTCACCAAAATTTAGTATCACATTTTAGTAGTGACCTATCATCGGGAGTTGATGAACAGAGAGTTATGACAGATCTTAAGGAGCTACTGTTGTCGTTAGAAATGAGCTCAACGCACTCGAAAGATTTCATGCATCTATAACGTTGGTCTGTGGCTCCTTTATAATAATCATTTTCACTACCTGGGTCGAGCTCACCTGGAGAATAACGAATTAGAGTTTCCTGTTTTCATAATGGACACAGCATCCTCGTATAGTAGCGACCACAGCGTTGAGGACCGTAAGGCTGCCCAGCAGCAGATGATGCAGTTGAATATGATCATAGAAAGCCAGAAGACTATGGTCAAACTCACCGGTCTATGCTTCGACAAATGCGTATCGGTAAGTGGCTATATACACCACTAGAGGCATTCATCATAATGATCATCAGACCCCAGGCAAGTCCCTATCCACTTCAGAGCAGACCTGTCTGTGGCGTTGTGCCCAGAATATGATGGAGACCAATGTGTTCATGCAGAAGAGGCTAATCCAGCAAGCTAAACATCAGTAGTAGCAGCAGTGGGAATCAGCGTAGGTCGGCCCTGCCGAGTCCACTACCTCTGTACTGCTAGCTCTATCCGTATATGTTTCTTAGTATCCACCTTTACAGGACCCTTTGCGTTCTCTTTGCATCTAGAAACCCAACAACAGCTATCTACTGGCAGGGACCAGGGGGCATTGGCATTCAGTTGGGTGGAGGGTGTGGCTAATAGATCGCATTTCGAATCCTTATAGGGATATCTATCTATGTCGTCACTTTTATAATCTATGACTAAAAACGATCCTTTACCCTTCACATATAGCTCTTTATTGTGTTCCATTCCCCCTACTACCAATGCTGTCTTCTTCTTCTTCCTCTAGTAGCGCCATCATCATAATCGACGACCCAACGTCCATCCTCGTGCCCTTGTGCATGTTCGGCTTGGTATTCCTCTTCAACATGTACCGCACTAGATGTCTAGTAAAGTCCTGCGAGTACACTTCTATGTTGCATCACAGTATATCCATTGTCGCGGCCATAGCCTGTATGGTTGCTGAATGGGGATCCCTCTCGACTAGGGCTGTCTACGGGTAAGCCCTAGTATCGTAAACAGTCTCATAGAGTCGCTCAGGTCCAACACGGAGCTCCCATTTGCCACACATTTGCAACATTTTAATATTGGGTATTTCCTATACGACATAATTCACTCCTTAGCCTGGGAGCACAATTTCATCCTTCATCATAGTGTGGCTCTCAGCGGTGAGTTCATTCAGATTTTCCATCGATAATTTCCCATATTTCAGGTTTCTTCGTATCAGAATACATGAACACCTTCGCCTTGGCTAACGCCGTGAACATCCTAGTCGCCGAGTCGGGGTCAATAATGTACAACTACTACAATGCTCATAAGTCCCTCAACCACTACGTCGTATTTGTCGTAGTATACGGCATATCACGGTTGCTATTCTCACTATGGAGCCTGTCCGTTCTCTACCAAGCTTGGTTTCCCTTCGAAGGGGCAGTGTACCCATTTTGGGCGCCATATGTCATCACTATACTACAGCTCACATTGCTAGCAGTTAATTTCACATTCCTAATGACGCATGTGCGGAAACTGAATAGAAAACTAAAGGATCACCGGGTAGTGGTATCAGACGAGTCTGATAGAGATCACGATATGAAGGAGGAAGAGCTGCTCCGTAGAAGGCCGGTCAGATCGATCGAAGCTGCTGCTGCCAATATGGGTGAGGCCTGAGTTTGGCGTCACGCGCCACGAAATTCGATCAGCAGGGGGAATGTATGATAAGTGCAGCGTCAGTCGCTGGAGTCTGTCGGTCGTACTCGGCCTTACACAACCCTTGTTGTAGGTTTTAACTACTGTCGCGTTGTTAAGACTGCAGGAGTATGTCAATTGACAGAGATGGATCCACCATCCAGCAGCAGCAGCAGCATCGGCGAGGCAGTGGCATAGGCTATCATGGTCCAGGCATCAGCATCTAGCAGACCACAGCCGGCCTGACTTCACAATGGGGCCCTACTGGGGGGGTCGACTCCCGCTTGCCTTGTCGCCCGAAGAGGCGACTCTAGTCGGGACTGATGAAACCGAACCGTGTAGTTTTTGTGCAGGGGAGGTCAGCGTTCAAGCCGAGGTAAATGTATCCAGTATCCGCGCGGCCCGATTGACCTTTGCAGCGATAAGCTGTGTCGGCACTAGGGGCGGGACTGCAACCCGATACGGCCAACGGTCAGCATTAGAGACCTCCCGTTGAAGTGACAGTGTCACACCAGCCCTATCGAATTGGTGCAGCCCGGATGTGGTCTTAGGGGCGTATCACGATTGTCCGGTCGAAGTGAGGTGTAGTTTTGTTGTGTCCACAGGGGTAGAGTGAACCCTCCTAGTTGACCATCGAGGTCGACATATGGGAGACTAGGTTACGGCGGGCTGCGGCTCATACAGTCAACTTAACCCTTATTCTGTCTGAGCCTCCTTGCGAGCGAGAGTTACTCCGCTGTGGGGTAGTGATTGCAATGGAAGGGAGGGCAAGGATATAGGGGTAGCGATTTCTGTCTCTGTGTCTCCAGTGCAATGGGGACACGCACTCGTGTCGGGTGTCTTGCATTTTGGAGTGAACAGAAGCCTTGCTCAATCCCTAGCCGATCTAGAAGGCCTGGGTTCCAATCTCACGAAGGTCATGTCAACAGACAAAGATGTTATGTTTAATGTTGAGTCGAAATAAAAAGCAGTATCTACTATATATGATCTCTCCTGGCGGAAGACACAAAAGTAACAGCCGCGAGATTCGAACTCGCGCCCTTTCGGACCAGCGCCTGAAGCTGGCGCCTTAGACCGCTCGGCCAGACTGTCGTTAAAATTTTAGGGTTTATTTCTGGCCGAGACATATCCTCTATTAGTTTTATAGTTGTCAGATGCGCATTTCCTCGGCTTCTGGCAGCGTACCCATGTGTACGATTCAGAATTGCAATATCTGCTGTTTATCGGAGCGGTTATATCAAATTCATCTCCTCTCCGATCCAAAGAGCCTCAGGAGAGATCGCAACTCCAGCTACCACTCTGTACTGTTTTCCGACCTCAGGCGCCGGGCGGGGCTTTATTGATGCGGGATAGGTTTTCCGCCATCCGTGAGACTTGTATACCGCCGGTATACATAGCTCGGGACGGAGAGTCACATGGGAGGAGCCACAAGGGGCTCCCGATGAGTACATTCGCGCAAACAACAACAATAACACTAGTACAACACAAAAACCGAAAGATTCAAACAACTATTAAATATGGTAATCCCTCACAAGCATCCTCCAGGCATGGCAATGGCCTCACCCAAACTTAGATCTTCACTATGGAACTGATCATGACGCTACATATAGGGCACCTATGAAACCACGTCGGGATGGTCAGCAATCACGTCGGAAGTCTTGTATAGCACAGTCCACAGCAACAACGGTATCCACATTGATGTTAATTCCAGGGACCCCCAGATGACAACACGGTCCGCTGACAGCACAGAAACTCAGGATTGAGGGTCAGAAACTCTGGTAAGGACGAAAACGGCATCATCAAGTGGCAGGATCGGATCGGTGATGGGACCAGTGCAGAGGTAGGGACACCGAGTGAAGGCTGCTAGGGTAAAGAATCCCGTAGGTGCCAAATACTCATTCCTGAGACCATCTCCCATTCATCGATATAGCGGTAGGCTTACCACAAGCACCGCGCTGCTTCCTCAAAGGATGCATTACACGACAGGACCTGATGTATGCCACTCCAAGGCTGCCATTGGCATCAGCAGAAACAACAGTGTCGGGATTTATGTTCACTCTCCTCAGCTGATTTTATCAGAGCGGAGCTTCCTCACTACTTGAAAGAGTAATTGTACGACTTCAAGTAACGATATACAGAAGAGGATTTCCCAGAATTCTCATATTATCACTAACAAATGTATTTTCCCACACTGTTCGTGATTGACCAAACCATAGTCTGTACGTAATACGAAATAAAGCAGCCTTGCACTCCACGAAGAGACCGACTGATACCAAGTCCTTACAAGTGGTTGTTGCTCGTCTTGACTGCTGCTCGACAAGGCATCCAGTTGAGCGAGCGGGACAGGGACTGCTACCACTACCGTACCTCCTGGGGCCACCTGGTAGTATTTCAACAGAGTCATCAGCTGACTGCCCTCACCAGTTCTGATATGCGATTTAACAATCGCTCCGGAGACTTGCACCTGATGCATTATGACCACTACATGGATGGTGACACCACTGAAGAGTCACCGGTCCAACACGTTGAGGCAGAAGACAGCATCGAACTTCTTCAAAGTCGGGGAAACCTCAGGCAATATAGGATCAGCAGTCCGTACTGCCCGGATGCCCTTTTGACTCAGACGTCGGCACATCCTAGAAAGAACGGCTGAGGAGGCGAAGCTATCAAAGAGGATCGAGCTGCAGGACTGTACTCAACCTCGAATTCTCTATACTATTACTAGATTACTGTTTGATCAATCTATGTTAGACCACATTTTCATTATGGACAGGAGATAGAGATAAAACCATTTACTAGATAATTGCTATTGGTTCTAGGGTACGTTATTTTGCTATGAACCCGTATGGGGTATATATTTGATATAATCTGCAGTGTGGGAAAATATGCAACAACATGTGTTGCTGACAAAACTGAAATTCTGAGGAAACTTCAGGAAATTCTCATTGGTTTCTGTACACTTCTACCCGAATTAGTATAGAATTACCGAGGAAACTCCTGGACTCAGCTGAAGAAAGCGAACATATACTCCAACACTGATAATCTGTATATATGTTTATACAAAGTTAACTACTTACGATCATCTAACATTCTCAGTTGTGACATACCTACATTTTAGAGACTTCTGTTGCCGTTACATTATTCGCCTTGAACAAATTCATAAACCCGACAGTGAGGTCACCACATCCCGCGCCGATGTCCAGGCAGGAAACATCGCTAGTTGAGTTCTCGAGTTTCAGCTTGCTATGTGATAGTAGTTTCCTCCATTGCTCTGTGGGAGGCAACTTCACAACTACACTACGTAAATCCAACCTACTTTCGCTGACCATGAACAGCTTCGGGCGTTGGAGAACAGCCTGGACCTGAGCCCGAGCAAGACAGATAGATGCACATGGTGCCCACATGACGTAGTACATCGTAATGGTAAATACATGGGCATATAGTGAGTGTAGCAAGCCACGAGAAACACCGGTAAAGACTCGATACCGTCGAGCTGGATAATACGAGGAAAGATTAATAATATCGCCGCATAGTGACACTAGCACAGTGTAGTGTCACCACTAACGAGAGCATCCTATTCAATTCCAGTCCCAAGACAAAATTGACAGTTCGTGTTGGTGTGGTATGCAAATGTGGAAAATGCGCGGCGTTATTCGCATTGATCCGAGACTTAACGAAATTAATTGCCCCTTTTCTGGCACGCACTGTGAAGGCGACGATAGCATAGATGTGCCTTGAGACCAGCATTATGATACTCTCGATCACAACCTAGCCACTATAGCTGCCCTTACCTCACCTCTCAGGATCTCGAACATGCCTGGTAATAAATGCGCACACTTCATCATCATCAACAACACTGAGAGGTACCTGCTACGCAGCATCAGCTGAGCCAACAACCTCCGAGTGTCAATCTCACCCATTTATCAGCGAGGTCCTCACCTAGCACCTCCGTATCTACTGCATATCGCAACCGCAGCCTCATTGTGCTATAGTCCAGACCGTTGTAAGCCGATGGTAGTCCGGACGAATTCACCCAAAACGGCGGCCGCGCTTCTTCTATAATCAGTTCACCTGTAACCACCGACTATAACAATACCCAATACGCCTATTCCCCTCCTACGAGTTGCGAGCGATACCATATTCCTCAAATACTCAGCCCTTGACGCCATCATAAAATCCAACCACTAAACGGCAACTCGCCTCGAATAACCAACACAAGTCGTCTAGTACATAATAACACCCTTCTGGTAAGGTTAATAATTTTACATGCTGCGCACGTCAGGAACTATGCTGGTACAACTTTATGGAGATTCCCACTAGATCGAGGCGCAGGTTTGGTGTGCCCACATATTCCCAAGACTCTCAACAAGCGGATGATTGGAGCCACATCATCCTGCTTCTTCAGCCTCGACATATGCGACGCTATTGGCAACTTTAGAGATGCTCTCTCACGCACTTTCGAGGGATGAGCGCCCAATGCAGTAGACGTATCTGAGCAATTTGATAAAGGAGTGGTAGAGAACGCCCAAGAATCACCTTCCACTTCCTCACCAGCCCTATTGGGCGGATAATCCACCACCAACCGGACCTGCGCTATACCATGAAAATAACGGTATAGTATGAAATGCCACAGGTATTCCCCTATGATACAGCGTGGGAAAATGCAGTGAGCTATCTTTGCCAGAATTTGGAAGGTTTTCCTTCAAGAGTGTTGTATTCTTACTACCGGTTCGTTATGACCATAATTCGGCTCAACTATAGTGGTATTCTTCAACGTCTTCTTGAGGAACTCATCTCCTCGGTATAGGAGTCTCCGATGCTCTCGAGACTTTTTCATTTTATGGCACTACCAAAAATACAACCCTATGGCCATCCCAACAACAAGCCTTACCGCAGTTTCCCCCTTGGTTGCATGATGTGCCAAGCGCTCGCCTAGGTCCCGTGCTTTGTCCTTCCTGGGGTAGAGGAGGAGGAAAGACTACTCCTCAGTATAGTTTCTATTACTTGCTGCCTTTGCCCACAGTCCGCCTTGAGCCCGCCCTCGGAGCAATAGCTGCCTCCTGTAAATTCCCATATGATACCCTATTCACAAGAGGGGCCCTAAAGGGTAATGGAATCCACTCATGCACACAGACTCCAGTACCCCTTACCCTCCCACAACAGTTGGCCTCTTCACATTAGCCTGGCGGAGTCGCTGAAAGGACGGTATCCAGGAAGGAAGAGAACCCACATCATCATATACTTACCACATCCTCTCGCTGAACATGTCCTGGTATCCATCCCGGAGTGTTGATGAACTGTGGGCCCTTGGCAACTGATTTCCTCTGTTGGAAGAAATCCAAGCTCATCTGAGTATCTTGCCGCGAGCCTCGTCTCGGCAGCGGCGGTGGCGGCGGCCGAATTGAGGTTCTGCTTTCACGGGCCGCTGATTTCTGCATTTGTCTTAGTTCATCAACCTCAAAGAAATGTCCTGATAATGTCCTGACTCCCCCTTTGGGCAACCCCAGCAGTAAGTAGGAACTTATACTACTTGCTCAAGTAACGCCAAGCCCAGCACAAAAAGTCAATAGCATTTCCAAAAACCGTTGAGGAATAGCAAGTGTACAAGATATAGCAAGATTCTAAAAATAGGAGACTTGATGCTAAGCAGCGTCTAGGTGAAGAACCTGAGGCAATCTGTACGGTAGGCCGATTCGTATTTCAGTAGTTGAGTGCGGAAAGCCTCTCAGTGAGTTGCTTATGATATGTGCCTAATTGAGCTGTAGGTGGCAATCCACCTCGTCACCAGTTGTATATAGTTGATCTTGATATCATATTTTACAAATTTTGTTGTTGCCGCTTTCAGCACACTATCAATGTGTATACGGGTACTAAACTCGCATTAAACACAACAGCAGTTAGCATGAAGAAAAGCAATCGTATCTTTAGAAATGCTAGAGAATATTCACGTAATAGACTTATGCAATCGTTCTTGAGGCAAATGCTCACCATCTTCCACCGAACGTCCGTTGTAACACACTCTGTTTCTCGAACTCACGAGGACCGAAGCCGCCAACAGGTGGCTTCGGGCATTGGAACTTCTCCTCACCCGTTGAGTCACGATTGATATTCAAAGAGAGGATCTTATTGATAAGCTCTCCCAAGGAGAGTGTAGCGCCACCCCATGGTATGAACCTGAAGCATTCTAGTATCGCCAAGTATCAATAACCTATAGCTCAACAGAGGAGCCCATATTGCTAACTACTGTTGGTGAATTCTTCCGAGCAAGCCACTGGCAAAATGAATACAGTTCGATTGTATACCAACTCGAAGTCGTTACTCTCATTGACTTACGCATTATCCATGAGAAATGGCTGCAACTCCTTCATCAGGGCTTCTTGCAAGCTCGTTGTCACATCGCTAAGGCTTATTGATATCAGACCTGCAAATCGATAAGATTCAACAACCGCACGAAATAGACAACTCCAACACCGCACCCAGGAACTGCTCCTGAATGGTGATTTGTTGCACGGTGATGTTCTCGACTGTGATCTGCCGTACAAACGGGTACTCCTCACTGCAAACCGATTGTAGAACAACCTACGAAGAACCCTGCTATCCCGACAGTCCTACACCACATCTACCTGGAAGTGTTTGTCTTTGCCACAACAGGCATCCGTATTGTCCCAAAGCTTATCGCATCGCCCTGTAAACCACGTATCAGGGGTCACACACTGGCCAACGAATAGTGACAATGGTAACTCGTCAATTACGCCTGCGACAAACCCTACAACACAGAAATCGGCTAAGTCACTATACCTTCAATGCTCAACGCTAGCCTGTTCTCCTTAGGCACCGAGAGGTATATGTTCTCCAATTTAGTCGTCCTCAATCCCGTCACCCATCGGGCGTTCACTTCATATACCCTTTCACGGACGTAGTAAAGAGAGCTGTTCCCAACACACGGCTTAGGCGCTATATGCAGAGGATCGACCGTACCTAACAGGAACTGTGGCAGCAAGCGAGCATAAAAAGGTCCAACCCTACATGCACCAAGTGAGCTCGGCAACGCATCCTGCAATGCACCGTTGATCAACGGGAGGTTCCCTCGTAATGATAGGTTCTACCATACCAAGAGATAATAGCGGGAATCGACTGCAAGTCTTACAATAACATCTAGGTCGACCGGGGGCATACTTGTATGCATGCTCCACACTATGAAGAAGATACCCCAGCTCACAGCCTTAATGACCAACACCTGATGATGGTAACACTAGGAGGAACCTTCCCTCAGCTTTGAACATACCGTGCCAGTCATCCTCTGCAAGAGCCGCTTCCACAAGGGTGGTACGGCCTTGTCCGCAGTAGAGTCGTTATCGCTATCATTATTCTCACTCTCATCGGTGGCTACCAAGCGGTAATGCTTCCCTTTATCGTCACGACCAGCTCGCCTCTCTCCATCCAAGGCATCCTTCTGGTGACCTACAATCAACAGGAGATAAAAACCCATACGAAATCTCATGTCAAAGATCACCTCGAAAGTCATCCAGATTGTCACCAAAACTTCTCCTTCGACGCCTCGGGCTGTTCACTATGGCCTCCATATCAACGTACTGCTCCACCTTGCGCTTGGCTGCGTCTAGCACAGCAGGAACCTTCTCCCCAGTGCCGGCCACTGACCGTGCTGACTCTGCCAGAGATCGACCGCCACCCAGCGATGAGAGCAACGAGCAATTCCGCTGATGTAGTTGTTGCTCCTCAGTAGCAACAAGGGAACTCTTACTCCGAGGCAGAACCATCCTACAGACAACTTCTGTTATGCATCCCGATCAGATCGTCGACTCACAGTGATTTGCTCCGTCTCATAAGGGACTCAGAAGCAGCAGCACCAGGGGCTACTAAACACGCATTCTGAAGAGCTCCCACCAAGGCGTGGCCATCCTCGATGTCACCCTCATCTCTCGAACGTCTCGACACATTTGGCCTAAACTAAGAGTGAGAAGAATGAGAGCGGGGCTACCTACGATATGGGTGGTGATGACATGGCTGAGGCCACAGCAGCTGAGCTGGCCTGCTTCTGTGCACGACTAGCATTCCGTCTAAGTTCACGGCGAAGGATACGGAAGGTCTGCCACTCTGTTGGGTCCCTCCGCGACATTGAGGTTATATCAGTGCCTATCCAAAACCATGCAAGGCTGGCCATTTACAGTGCCGCCTACCCATATCAGAGCGACTCCCCAAGTCCCCTAGGGCGGCGACAGTAGCCGACCTGGGCACCAAGCTAGACTGCTGTTGCTGTTGCTGTGTATCCAGCAATGGCTCGGTCAGCGTAGCACTGCTTGAAGGCTTCGGCATGGAGGGCTCAACAACAACTCCTCCGTGATCTCCTTGTTGAGACTTCAGCCTTTCCGCAAGAGAGTAACCCTCTATTGTTGGCAGCGACAGAGCCCTCTGGTATCCTAAACAGGCAGCAGCCACTTCAAGAGCGGTAGTTTACGAATGAGTGCTTACGACCATCGATCGCCATACTGCCGCTCCTCTCCACTGCATTAGGCCGGTCAGCGACGGCATCGTCTGGGTGAGCAGGTCGCCATCGAGTAAACGATGAATAAGACCTAGGCGTAGCGGCGCTCTGGTCCCCAATCATATACTCTGGATCCCTTAAGGATTCCTCTTGCTCCTGACCAGCAGACGTGTACCCTCTCAATAAGCCATCATCGAACCTACATGCTCGAGTATGATCATCTCAGTAGCCATCTCCACGACATTCCGTGCCATAGCGTCCATCAACAGCTCATGCGTTTGCGTAGCCAGATCCATCGAGGCCAGCCCTGAGAGTAAACAGTATACCATCATTAGAGTTGCCACTCAGCTCACCAGCCATGAGTAGGAAGTAGAAGCCCGATAGCAGCCCAGGAGGAGCATCAGCTCGCAAGGCATCAAATGCATTGAGGGAGATCAACGTGGTGAACATAGCAACAGAGAAAACGTCCATCATAGCCCAGTCGCTAATGTAACTGTAAGCGACGATTCAACAATATATCAATAATGACGAGCACTGGTACTCGATGAGATAGAGCAGCCAACGATAAAGATCAGCACAGGTGTGAGACGTCTTGTGACAAGGGAGGACGTGGAGTGTGCCTATGGACGCACAGTAAGGGGGAGTGTGAGCGATCAAGAAGACTCACCAGCGATGAATATTCCGCCGACTTGAACACACGGCACGATAAGTGCAAAAACAGCGAAAACAACCGCGGGAATAAAGTAGTTGATACCCTCGTGCTGCTTAACAAGCCCATCAATCATGCCAACTAAAAGAAGGTGTGCCGGTTGCATAAACTCTCCTAGCCGTGCTTACAAAGACCCAACGTGCTCTGTGATACAATCAAGCTCTCTTTGAATGCCACTTTAACAGTAAGGACCTGTCACACCACCTCATCTAAAGACAACGCTTTCCCTCAACACCTTACACTATGGTAGAGACTCCAGTACAGACCGATGTAGAAGGTTATGCAGGCTCCATAGAGGAAAAAGGTGTCCAAGGAGAATTCAAAGCCTCGACAACAGCCTCCACAGGTGAATATCGATCGACCTAACACATACCGCCTCCACTGCTTCCAATCGGTTGCCCAGTAGTCGTACACAGAGACAACTTGTTGGTTTGAGCCAAGTTGAACGTACTGGCCACACTGGTGACCTCAGAGAGAGCGCCACCTCCTCTACGTTGTTCAGCAGTACGGCTGGGCCACACCACAAGAGTACCGTCATTAACAGTCGCCACCCGTGGTGATTCCGGACCTGATCATAGCATGTCGACTGAGGCAGCTAGGACACAGCTCACTGTGTTCATCGGGAGGAGCCGAGGAGTGGAAGGCAAGCGGCTCTGAAGCTGCTGCACCAAAAGAAGGCGTCCGGCCTGAGGGACCGACGAAAGTCCAATCGAGCTCAGATTCCCGGTGTGGGAGAGTATGCACATGACCAACCACATGTGTCGATGGTTTTTGTGAAAATTCTGAGGAAAATTAATGAAATTCTTATTGTTTTCTGGACACTTCTACCCGAATTTGTATGTAAACTAGTGAGAAAACCTCCGGGCTCAGGTAAGGAAAGCGAACATTTATTTCAGCACTGACCACTCCTCCCCCTACTTATCCGAGCCTTGCGGTCTCCTTCCGGAGCCTCTACTTCCTCTACACTGGAACACGCTCGATCACCCTCACAACGACGACGATTCGACTGTGGTGTGGTAAGCGGCGTTTTGTCGAGCTCGGGCAAAGGATCTCCACAAGCCTGACGTGAATTTCCCTCCAATCCTCCTCATCGACGCCACATCCCCCCTCCTACTCCACTCTGATCAGCCTGCCGTCGACCGTCTGCTAGGGCTTCACCAAAAGGAACCGAGGCATGCACCTGAGCTCACGCGGGAATCAGCCGAGCATTGCTCACAGCAAAAGTAATGGCTAGCACTACAGTGATAAACACTAGAAGGATCAAAAAGCCTTGATCACGCGTTCACAGCGTAGGGAATTCTGCACATGGTCAAACACGTGTGTTGGTGATGATGAAAATTTTCGAGAAAATTTTGGGAAATGAGTATTGGTTTTTGTACACTTCTACTCGAAGTCGTGCGGAAATACTCATCAAGTGGCTCTGAAAACTCTGACCTCAGCCGGAGAAACCAAACATATATTCCAACACTGCTCATTCCAGCGAGACGACACCCACTTCAGTATTCCGAGGGTAGTAGTGAACTAAGCTGGAGTGATCAGCCTGATCAGGCGAACGACCCGTGATGTTCTTGAAGGCAATCTCCGTCTGCCTGTCCCGCATCCATCGGGCGAGCTGCTGAGCATACAACGCTTGCGGCCGGTCGGGCAGCATTGACCACAACACTTGAGTAGCTGAAGGAAAACAGGAGGATGGGAAGATATGCAAATGTGTTAGTGACAATTTTATGAATTCTGAATTTTCCATTTTAACATTCATATTCAGCGAAAGAACTCCTGAGCTCAGCCGAGCATTGATTCCAATACTACAAGTTTTGGGAAATTTTCGTAGGCATTTCTACTCGAATTTGTATGTAAACTTCTAGTACCTAGCTGAACCGAGTTGAAAAAAAAAGAACAAACATGTACTCCCCCAGCACTTTGATAAAATGGTGACACCAGTACGACATACATACCCTCTCCACCTACCGCCAATGCTCAGTAGACAAAATGCCAGATAGTAGTAGAACCCAGTCTGCAACGTAGTGCGCATCACATCCTAAAAAAGGTCTTATCATAATAAAGAAGATTCACCACACAGTGCTACCTGATTGAGGAAGGCTACCATAATAACTGTGACGAATATATCCAGCATTTGGTATTTTGCTATAATCCTGAAAAACAACAGCACAGGAGAATACCGAGGCGCGTTTCTCCCAGGGGCTCACCGCAGTACAAACATGAGCTGGTGAGCTTTCTCTGGGAAGGTATGACGAATGATGAATATCACCAACATCATCAACAGCTTTACTATTGGGACTACCACCGAACATAGGAGTACGAGGACGCCTGAGGACCCTCCTCATAATAGTGAAATCATCATGATAACCCCACCTGGGAGATAGAAGCCTTCCTCGAAGAAATTCTCCAAACTCTCCAACGTGGACTTGGTGATATCAATTGACCCCTGAGGAAAATACGGGCGTCTTTTTGAATTCTCATCAATTCGGCGAAATATGCATACGATCAACTCCATGTATACAAATTTCGGAATTCTGTCTCTGGTTTCACTAGACTTCTACCCTACTTCATATATATAACCTCCTATAACTATCCGGGTAACTCCTGAACTCAGCTGAGGAAAGGGAACATATATTCCAACACTGATACTCATAGAGTCGACTCGAGTATCGTCAGAAAGTCGTACATCCATTTTGAGTGTAAAATGGCTGAGTAAATTTTCTTCCCAAAATCGGACCCATGTAGTAATTGAGCGATATACAACACTAACAATAACATGCAAAGTTGATGCCTGTATACCGAGCTGAGCTGGCGACATCATTTCACCCGACCAAATTGCGCACACTGCGAGTATTCTCATCAGTGTTGTAATACATGTTTGCTTTCCTTAGCTGAGCTCAGGACTTTCCTCACAAATGTAAACAGCTCACACATAAATTCCGGTAGTAGAAGTGTACAAAAACCAACAAGAAGTGCCCAAAATTTCCACGGCATTCTTATATTGTCGGCAACACATGTAGTTGACCATGTGCATATTTTGTCATACTGTGTCGAGAGTGATCAGCTCTGTTACCCTCAGTGGAGCGTTTCAAAATCCCCCTAGTCTCACCAGAGCAAGCTCTGGTCATGTACAGGGCGACCAACAGCAGTCTAAGTGGTCCCTATTACTACCTGTCCCATAAAGTCTCCTTTTATAGTTACAATAGGCAAGCTTATACCCTGGAAAAAGCATGCATACGCAGTAACCACTAATAGCAGCAATACGTTAAACCTACAACAACCAGTCACCATCATCATGACCTCCATAACATGCCGCAACTACCGCGCAAAGTAGAAGATATGCAAAGCACATCGCCATAGTAGTCTCAATATACTCTTGATCATTCGAATCACCACAGCACCAGTACGCTCTTCCTCATCTTGCTGCCCGCGGGCCGTCGTCGTCGTCGTCGTCCGTAACCGATGACTTGGGCCATCCTCACCAACAACGGGTGACATATGAGCTTAGAATTACACCTCTACCACATAGTGGTCACTTCTCGAGCTCAGGTTTACCCCCATAAATGACCAACTACAGCAAACTCGAGACCAACTCCTTCAAGGACAACATTCATCATCAACATGTGGACATTTCAGTGTATGAGTCATTTAAATTTAAGTCTAAGGTTCATATTCGAGTAACTCGACAGTCGTCTTTGCCAACTTACTCACCTGATGCAAAGAACATAGCAATCGATACCCCCACACAGTGTGGGTATATATGCACATGTGATGAAGATACTTTTGAGTAATTCAGCACTTCTACCCTAGTTCGTATATTAACTCCCATAGTAAGTTCAGCTGCGTAAAGCCAACATAGACTTCAAAACTGTGCGAACTTGGGAACGCACCACGTCGCGAGCCTACCATGTGGTCCTGATCGTCCTCAGCGACTACACTGCGGAGAGCATCGGTAGCCCCATGGGACAGGAACCACTCTCTCGCACTGAAATCACCACAGTACTATATGGACAACTAACACGTCTTATGATACCACTACCTCGGTAACTCTTGTAAATGCGCCACCACCTGTATGACATGCCTTAGTACACTCCTCGAGGGCACGCCCGTCCTCAACTGCTCCAGAGCGTGCTCTAGCATATCAGTGCCAGACTCCCATACCTAGCCACTTTCGATGAGCTAGAATACCATCGTGCCAAGCGTATACCGCTTGGCATTCGCCCCCCTACTACTTCGTATTTCACACGTCGCACGACCGTCAAACTAGCCGCCAGAGCCCACGCCACCTCCACGACCTTCCATGAGGAGTCTGGGCTCATTAATAAAGGCACGACCTTTTCAGTCTGAGACGGTAGGACCACCGACTCCGAGACATACCAAACGCCCAAGTGGCATTACAAAAGTCATCCCTGTCGTCATCGCTTCCTTAGCGTCAACCCCGACCAGGCTCACCTCGACCAGGAACTGCAGTGTCGTAACCAAAGTGGAATTAGTTGGCGATGGCGAGATCAACAAATATAGGCCGGGAAACTGAAGATGACAGACGCAGGGATCGAACTCGGGTCTTAATCGAGGGCTTACACTGGCCGCAATCCTCCCCGCCTCACTCGGACCAAGAGCTATCATGTTAGCTAGGACTTCGAAGATCACCGAGCGAACTGACAAGAAGACTAATCCATCGCTATTCCTCGAGGTAATAGAAACCCCATGTTCGTTGAATCAACTGTGGATCAATTCAGAATCGATTTTAGCATCGTGTTATACGTATAATGAGCGATTCTGGAAACGATTCTGAGTTTCGCAATCGAACGATTTCTTGACACGATTTCAATCGTGTCTTGAACGACCCTAAAGAACTTATTCACGTCACATCCACACGTACTAGTTTCAAAGCAGTTCAGCACAAGACGAATTTCTAAACTGATGATTCATATCAATTTTCTTCCTAAATAAGTATTACTATCACTGCGTTCCTCCTCCGGACCTAGTGAGCTCCTAAATCTGATCCGGTCATACAGTAGAGTGAGGTAACTGATACGAAACGTATCCTACTGCATCTGGCTCTACTACTACTTCCTACCCAATCTCGAACAACCGAGCCGCCCCCTGGGCGAATCGTGATATCTCCAGCAATGTCAATACCGTGGTGAGCCGAGTATTCCTATGAGGGAGAAAACTGATGTGTTATAGAAAGCTCAGCATCAACGAAGCGAATCGTGACTATAAGGCTTATGATCGTTAGACATGCCCGAGGGACTATCAGCCCACCAGCAACGGGAACTTAGTAATATCTCCTCTCCAATGAGAGTCTGTAACGCACTGCTACTATTCAGTATTCCAACCCGGCCAACAGTCGACCGGGAAATCCTATAAATGACCTGAGCCGGACCGTCCATATGACGAGCCTAACTGCCTCATACGTGCCTACCTTCATCGCGAGTAGCCTCATGTGGGTGTCCACATCGCCTTCACTGCTGAGCCTGGCCTTTTCCAGGTCCTGCAGGAAGCCCACGAGCATTTCTAATATACCACATTCGATCTGCAATAGAAATAATTTCTATAGCAAGCAACTGCATTTCTTAGAGTTACTACAGCTTCCTGAACAGCCGTGGTTTTCGAAAGCTTCTCATCTAAATGCACCAGAAGATTAAGTCGCGTGGTCCGAGGAGCAGTGTTAGGATGTTCATATTGGTATCTACCTCGACACTCATTTCCGAGTGATAAAATATGACTTACTTTAGTCGAGGTAGTTCCCAATTGCCAAACGCCACCTGGACATGCTCAGCTGGTTGAGCCTTCGGGTGATCCTATGGGAGTACTTTCCCCTTATCGAACAAGTATATCACCTCACCTCAACGGCGAAGTCTGCAATGTGCCTGTCATTTGACGATCCGATTCTATTAGGAACATGTCGACGGCCTAGGAGGTTATTAGAGGGCCCTCCGAAAACCAACATGAGACAGAGAGTAACTGTAAGAGGCTGGTTTGTCTACTGAGGTTCCTAAGACAAGTAGTCTGAAGAAATCATACAGGTCTACCCCTACTCAAACTGTTACATAGACCTATGCTGTGTTACAAGGTAAACAGTTGATGAACTGTTACATAGACCTATGCTGTGTTACAAGGTAAACAGTTGATGAACTGTTACATAGACCTATGCTGTGTTACAAGGTAAACAGTTGATGAACTGTTACATAGACCGATGCTGTGTTACAAGGTAAACAGTTGATGAGCTGTTACATAGACCTATGCTGTGTTACAAGGTAAACAGTTGATGAACTGTTACATAGACCTATGCCGTGTTACAAGGTAAACAGTTGATGAACTGTTACATAGACCTATGCCGTGTTACAAGGTAAACAGTTGATGAACTGTTACATAGACCTATGCCGTGTTACAAAGTGAACAGTTGATGAACTGTTACATAGACCTATGCCGTGTTACAAAGTGAACAGTTGATGAACTGTTACATAGACCTATGCCGTGTTACAAGGTTTAGAAAAACTTGGCCAAAGAATGAAGTCGTTCCTGTTTCCATCCTGATATTTTCCATTTGATACAATACAGCGTCTACTAAGTATAGTTTAGTACAGATCTGGTTGACACCGATTCGGCGTAATCCGGGCGAGACCTGTTTTAGCCCGTAAAAGCGTAAAAGGCCGCTGTAAAAGTTGGTATAATTCGCGCTCGCCCAACACCAATCGATCGTGTCTCTCCCAAGAGACAAATAATCCTCATTCTACTTCGCACTAACGATGCGGTATCACTGCGTGCTTCACGTGCTAGCTGTGGTGCTACTACACGCTGACTTCAGCTTGGGGTCTTATAGCAGCCACTCGTTCCGACAGCATGGAAAAGAGCGTTCGACTAATAAGGGTTCTCTGCGTACGTCGTCATCCACCGACACCCGTCCAAGTAGTTCCAGTTCGAGTCCCTCTGGGAGATTGAGGTCTGGTGGATCGCGTTCTTCTGGGAGTACATCATCAAACGTATGGTCGACCAGCAGTGGTGAGCTCTCTCCTACGAGCACCAACATTCCAAGGAGTCGTACCTATAAGGCTGAGGGATGCCCTTTCCTATATGGAACGATTATTGACCATCCCCACAGCGATACTACTGGGTACCTTGATATCTCATGGAAAGTCATCCGCCCTAACTATTACGGTGGGAGAAATATTCAACAAGACGTGACCCTAAAGAATGTGAAGTACTCCGATGCGAAAGTGTCAGTGTTAAGTGGTCCTTCAACTAAATTTCTCGATGTTCATTTGACAGATGAGCAACACAAGCGAGTGTTGTCGTATGGTCTTTTCAGTGGGACTTCGAGGGAGCAAACATCTTTTCTAGGCGTCTCGCGGAGCCCTCTGTCAAGTCACATATAATCTATAACCCTACATCCTTCGGGGAACGC